AGGCACTGAAATGGCAAAGAATAGCAGTACATAGTCTCACAAAGCGTGATGAAATAGACATAAAATTAGGGCAGTATATTTCTTTTTAAGGGGCTAAGGGCAGAAGGAGGTCATTGCAGACAGAGGGAGGTAACCTTGGCTAGGCAGGTGAGGTGCCCATAGACCTGGTAACAGGTGGGAACCTTGGCAGAGGTCTGGAAAGAGGGTGGGTTAGTGGATGAAGTTACTGGGGTCTGGGAGTCAGGGAAATGTGGAGATGTGGCCAGGGATGCCCTTGGCACCAGGTTGTTCTGACAGCAATCAGTGGGCCCCTAGCCCTTAGGCAGGGCCTCAGTGACAGGACCACCAGGAACACTGGTCAGAGCAAGGTGCATCCGAGCATTCCTGTTTCGATTCAAGTAAGACTTGTACATGAAACAAATTAAAATACTTAAGAGATGCTTATAATATAAAGCAATAGTCTCCCACTTCACCTCAAGTACCCCTCCATAAGAGCAAAGCATGTTTAGTCATTTTTAGTACTTTGAAAGCTAACTGTATATCACCAAGCAATAAGCTTGAACCTATAATGATTAATCAAAATCAGACATAGTCTGTTGACTCCATGTTAAGAAATAGGAGAGTTTAGTTTACTTACATGTTCCTCCATCCACTTGCCAATTTTTGATGGTTGTATTTTCTTTTTTGGTTACGTTTATAACTTTAAGTAATATACTTAAATCTTTGTTATTTTATCAGTTCTAAGGCTCATTCCTTCACTCTTAATTATTGGTGTGGGAAATTGAGATTCTGTGTTGTGTCTTACGATTAATGTATAAATAGTCATGTTTCTTTTGTGTGTAAAATATTTTTACAAGGAATGCTTTAGTTATTTTAAGGGAATCCTTAATTTTTTTGTGTCATTAATGTACAATTATTTGAACAACATTATGGTTACTAGACTCCCCTATTATCAAGTCCCCCCCCCACATACCTCATTACAGTCACTGTCCATCAGTGCAGTAAGATGCTATAGAATCATTACTTGTTTTCTCTGTATATACTGCCTTAGGGAAACCTTAATTTTAAGGGCATATGCATAATGCTTTTATATTTGCATTTCATAGCAATAGCAGGGAAGCCATACAAGTTGGTTATTACCAGGTGAATGAGCAAAATCCCATAAAAACTGTAGCTTACAACTAAGTGAACACAGTTTCACACACAAACACACAAATCTATTAAAATTTTCTTGAGGTTACAAGTCAACAGTCTTTGTAACTTCAAAGACAAACCGCTCAGTGTTCTTAGAAATTTCTCTGCTCTTAGCACTTAGAAACTCTCCTTTGTGGTGGTGTAAGACAGAGAAAAAGCATAGAATTAAGTTAAATTTTTTGTAACTGGTATATACATATTTCCTAGTGTTTTCCTTATCTACATAACAAATTCAATAGCTAGCTCAAAAAGCATGGCTTGAATAACCTTTCAAGTTTTCTTAAACTAACTGAAGTTTGTAACATTTAATCCAGGCCTGAGTGAAAAATCATGGGGTTTATATTTTTATTTTCCGCAGAACTGCAATGAAAATTTTAGTGCTTTTTCCCCTTTTCCTACAATATTGGTTCCTAATCTTGATTAATGTTAGCCTTAATTTTATATTATCAAGGTAGATGATATTCATATTCTATTTTGTAACTATAGTTATGTCCTCTGTGCTTTGTGTATAAGGTCAATTTTAGAAGTTAAAACACAGTAAACGTGTTACACCAGTGCGAATATGTAGCTGTTATTCACCAAAGAGAAAAGTTTTTCTTTTGCTATGATTCTGATGTGGCTGTTGTACCATTTAGGCTTTTGTACCATTTAGGGGAGAATCTTCCTAATATCATGGCCAAATGGGTTAGTTTTTCTTACGTTTGCTTCATATTTACACTTTGACTTTCTTGTTCACTTTTCCTGGAGTTTCAATAACCTGTCTTTTTTCTTGTTGACAATATAGGCAGTCAGCATGGCCTGAAAATCATTCAGTTTGCTAATCATTCTGTTCCTTGTGTTGAGTCCAGTGCCTGTGCAGAGCCACCCCTCGTGGGACGTCCGTCTTTCTGCTCCAGTCACTGCTGGCTTTTTGAACTTGATTCCACTCTTGAGTTATCATCACTGTTTTCTGAATCTCATCTTTTCCTCCATTATGGTTTATAGTCTCATTTTGTAGAGTACGGGCTTTAGTATTTTTCTCAGTAATGAAATGTGGGGTTCTGAGCACTTGTCTACTTAACTTTACTTTCACATAATTGGTAATCCGGCTAACATTCTGGCTTTAAAATAATTTTCCTTGGAATTTTAAAATCAGTTTTAAAATTGTTTTCTGGCATTCAGTATTGCAGATTAGAAGTCTGATGCCAGTCTAATTATTTTTGTTCCTTTGTAAGTGTTCAGTTTTTATCTTTGAAAATATTTTAAATTACACCTGAATTGCACCATGATGCACTGAGGTATGGACTTTCTTTTGTTTTTCTTTTTTTATTCTTTGTGCTGTTTACTCTATGGGAAATTTCAGCACAGACTTGTGTCTTCTTCAGTTTGGAAACATTTATTTCTTTATTCATCTGGGTTTTTCCGTTTGATTTGGTTTTTGTCTTCTCTCTTCCTGGATCTCCTGTAGATGTTGTAAATCTAAGATTCCTCTATTTCTCCTATTCTTTGCTCAAACTTTCTACTCCCTTACCTTCCTGTTCTAAATTCTGGGATATTTACTTAACTTTATCTTTTAGATCTTCTATTGCATTTTTTATTTTACTGATCATGTACTTAATTTCTAAAGGTTCTTGTTCTTGGATAATTTTTTGTTTTCATAGCATTTTACTTTGTAGAGAGAATATTCTTGAAGGTGTCTGGAGCTACTAATCAGCATTTTCTTCAAAATTCTCTTTTGTGTCCTGATTTATATATTTCTTCCAGCCCAGGTTGTACTTGTGAATTTGTTGCTGGTTTTTATCACCTACCTAGTGATCTTTAGTTGTTGGTGAGGATCCCCTGCTATAGTGTGTGTGGGTCTGTTTCCCAGATAAGGCCCTTCCTTCATGGGAAAGCTGACTGCAGCTCATCTGGGGGTGACTGGTCCATGAGGAGGGCTTCATTTGGGGTGCAGACATCCACACTACAGCCTCATTGTCTTCAGGCAATTTATTCAGATCCTCCAGAGAAACATTCCAGGGCTCTCTTTTCCTTCCCATTTGCTCTGTATCATTTTCTCCATTTTATAAGTTCCAGACATTTATGGAAGCCTTTCATCTATTTATGACTCTCCCTCCCAGTTCTCTTTGCTTATAGACATATATCCTTTTCCCCCTTTACTACCCTTTTAATAAGATCTTGGGAAGGAAAAAGAGGGGAAAAAATGTGCCTACTGTGTCATTGTAAACAAAAAGCCCTTTAATAAAATATTTTTCCCTTGTTTCAAAATGATCACTGTAGAACGTTGAGAAAATATAGATTGCAACAAAATAAAATATGATCTGTTTTTCCATCACACAGAAATCACATTAACATCTTAAACCAAGTTCTAATTCCTTTTTCCTTTTTCTATGCATCTATTTAAGTTTTTTTTTTTTTTACAACAAATCATACCATGAGTTCTGTTTTCTACTATCCCTTTGAAAATGGAACAATAGCTTTTAAATATCTTTCCATGACACAACATAGACCTGACAATATTGGAGACCTGGTATTTATCGGAAGATGTATCATTTAGCCAATTCCCTATTTTTAGACATTACATTGTTCCTAGTTTTCACTGTTATGAACAATCACTTATAAACTTTTTTGATAAAATCTTTATTCATATCCTTTACTACTTATTTAGGATAAAATCCTAGGAGTGTAATTGCTGGGTCAAAGTATAGGCAGGTCCAGTCTTGATGTCACCTTCAGGCTGCTTTGAATCAGCCCCACCTTAATGTTCTGACCCCAAACTTCCCTGTTACCCCACTTCATGTGGTGCACTGCATTATAGCGGAGGGGCTATGGGACTAACTTTCAGAGTCAGACCAGGGTTAAATCCTAGCTTTCTCACTTAATGAATGTGTGACACTAGGCTATTTTAATTAATCTGTCTGAGCACGAGTTACCTTTTCTATAAAATGAAAGAAATACTTCTGTTTTTCTGGTGTGGCTGCTGTAAGGATTAATTGAGACAATAAGTGCATATAAGGCACTTAGCACAGGCTCTGACAGGTCGAACGTGTTCGTAAATCCATAATGATGGGATCAGACCCATTCCTCCCCCTAAGCCTGTGCAAATCTTTCAGGGCCACATTCAAGAGGCAGCCGTCTGTCCGTGAGGCCTCCCTGACCCGTGCTGCAGAGCACCCGTGGGCTGGACCCACACTTGACGTCCAGAACACATAGTCTTGCTGCTTTCCTCTTAGGCTTTTGGACGGGCTCACAGCCCTCCTCACCAGCACACCGTGCTCTCCCTTAGCATCCCAACTGACCACCTCCCATGGGGGTCCCAGGGGAAGAGAGGTGACAGTGAAGAGCAGCTAGTGCTCAGTGTCGGCAGCGTCAGGATGGCAGCTCAGGAGCTTTAGGTGTGGTCTCTGGGTTCGCTCTTGGGTCAGCGGGCAGCAGAGGCCAGGAGCTGTGGAGCAGGGGCGGCGGCTGGTTTGCTGTGGCTGAGCCTCTCCAGGGTGTTATCCTGAGGGAGGGCAGAACCGACCGGTGGCCTTGGGACCCTTGTGCAGCCTGCCAGACGCCTCCCTCGCCCTCATTACTTTGCACTGGACCATAAGATGCTTTTGTAGCCAGTAGGGCTTTCTTCCCAAGCAGCACCCAACCCACAAAGGTTCCTTTCATGCCCTGCAGATGCCTTCCCAGTTGCCAGGGGAGATTGCGAAGAGTGGTCTGCAGCGCTGCAGATGGGAGGGCTTGCCTGGGAGAGCCTCCGGGAGAGGGCCCTGAGGAGGTGCAGGTGATTTGGGCATCCCCTGCTCACCCCTCTCCCCTATCTGGGTGTCTTTCAGGAGTCATGGCCGGCTTCAACATGGGGGGTGACCTGAGAGAGCCCGCTGCCAGCATCCCCCTGGGCTCCCTAGCAGCCGTTGGCATCTCGTAAGTTCCCCAGTGACAGTCAGCTGGAGACAGGGAGAGAGAGCCCCAGGCAAGAGAGGGGATCGTCCCTTTTGTTCCATGGGTGCCCTGACTGTGGCCAGTCTACTTCATACTCCAATCCTCCCTCAGCCACCTGGAAAATTCATGGCTGGTGGGTTTAGATGATTGCTCTTTCCTACCCCTGGCTGGGAATGCAGCAAAGGGGCATCATCGACTGAGACGGAGTCCTTTCTCTCCCTCTCAGCAGCGTCCTGCCTGTCCCCCCAACCTCGTTTTGAACATGCATGTTTTAACTACTGAGTTTCCAGGATGGTGGCGGGATCATGAAGATGAACAGTTTTGCACTCAGATCAGGATTTGCATTCCCAGCTTTGCCACTGACTGGCTGCGTGACTTTGGGCAATTTATTTAGCACTTGGTGTCTTGATTTCCTTTTTTTGTAAAATGGGGTGATAAGGATATGTGGGCCCCGTAGATTGTGGAGGGGATGCTGTGTGTAGATGCACCTTAGGAACTCAGACACTCCGAGGCTGTCGCTGCCCTGGGTTTTGGTTCACGCTGTGCCTCCACATGAGCAGGCTAGGTAGCCTTGGGTCTATTCCTGACCTTCTTGGATCTTCTGTTTTATTCTCTGTACATGGAAAGAAGCTTCTCTGCCTTCACTGAGTGGGTGTGGAAGGCAGTGAATCACAGACAGGGCAATGACTCAAGAAGTTAAAAGTGCCTGTGTGATTTTGACCGTATTTTTAAAATATTAATATATCTATTTTAGAAGTGCTGAATTTGCTTTTAGCTTAGTGTGATGGCACCGTTGCTTATAGCCAGGTACACAGCACCAACCTGTCTTGTGCTAAATAAGGCAGTAGCAGTGTGAGGATAGAAAGGAAGACAGCAGAGAGAGAGCCGGGTATTGGGAAGGGAAGGAAAGAAAACCCTGTCTTGTTTTTAGTCATTGCTGGGAGGTCCTGGGAGCGACCTTTGTCCTGTCCTCTCACCCTGCAGATGGGAATGAGGCCACAGGGATCATGTGACTTGTTCAAGGTCACAGGGCACAGGAGGCAGGGGAAGCCAGGTCACTGCCAGCCTTTTCGCACTTGGCTTGGCCCTCTGTCATCTGGGATCCAAGCAACAGCAGGACTCAGGGGACTGAAAGATCACCCGCTTGTTCTCTGTGGGACGATGGAGTGTGGAGGTCAACCCTACCCGAATCCTGGTGATCTAAAGGCCAGCTGGGCCTCCCCTCCCTCTCCCTCCCCCCCCAACACCCTCTGTGTGTTCTTCTTTAATTAAGAAAGAGGCACAACAATGGTACTTCTTTTTGGCCAGAAATATGCTAGAGGAGAAGTAGGATGGAAAGTCCCTCCAGCTGAGCTAGGGAGGCGTCATGCTTGGCTTTTCTCTTTCCTTTTGAGCCTGGTCCCCACGGGAGCGCAGGCCGAGTGGGGTGGCTTGGGATGGGGTTGGCTGGGGCTGGGGGACAGCTCTGCTCTGGTCTTGGGTTTTTTTGCAGGTGGTTTCTGTATATCGTCTTTGTCTTCCTGCTTGGCGCTATCTGCACCCGAGAGGCCCTTCGCTACAACTTCCTGATAGCAGAAAAGGTGGGTGAGTCCCGCACTGCCCAGGGGCTCAGGATGTCACATCATTTATTTGTTCTGATCAGCAAATGGCTGCCTCCCCCTTGAAGTCCTGCCTGGGGATCCATATAGTGTTGATCCAGGACTGAAGTACAGATGGTCGGGTTGTGGGGGAGCATGGAGAAAGCCCAGGTGCCTCTTACAGGTCTCTACAAACAGGTGACTGTGTTTGGAAAGGCACATGCATGTTGGTGACTAAAAGAGACACATCCGTCTCTTTATGTCAAAATTATGGCACAGCACAAAGAATATGGTCACCAGAAATCACCAGCCAAACCATATTTTTGCCAGTAGCCTCACCTTCCACCATGAGCAGAAAGGAGGCTGATGGACAGAAAAGAGGGCATCCAGGCAGAGGGCGACGGAGGAGGCCCCACACCGGAGTGAGGCCCTCCTTGACCCCTGAGGACGCCCTGGGCTCTTCCCGTGCGGTGGGCCAGGTTTATCTGGCCATAACAGCTTTGTTTCTGGAGATGTACATCTGCATGGAGAAGATCAGCAAATTCCTCACACTCCACAGCCATGCCTTAACAGGCCAGAGGTGGTGTAACAGTCAAGGACACTCATTTGGCACCTCTAGAACCCAGGAGAATAAGATTTCCAGATGCTTTTCTAGAAATCCCCAAAAATTCCTACCTTCCCTTAAGTTCCTGGAGGAGCAGCGGCCCCTGAGATTCCTCTTATTTGTCAGAGAAGCATAGGAGGCCAAGGAGGTTTTCTTACTCAGTTACCTCCTGAGTGCTGCTGCTCATATTTTAGGAAAAAGTGCCCTTTTCTCTTGGCGTCAGGCCTTGCCAAGCAGCCTTACCAGTCTTCACAGAGGGCCACTGCTTGGGGCAACTTGGGCCAGGAAACTGAATTCACTTTTTAGAGCTGCCTTTGGGCTTGGTTTTCACATTAGCACAGCTTTCTTTTGAGGGTGTGTAGATGATATGTTAAGGTGATATTTGTGTTCAGGGGTCTTGACCTTACTATGAAAGCAAATTCTGGAAGGGGGGCAGTTCACATAGTGAGACCACCACCTGATACTCACCTTCCAGGGCCAAGGTCTAAACCTGCAAGAGAGCAAGGTTTGCTCTCAGGGAAGGAATCTGTGGCTCTCATTTACACCCACATGCATGCTTCCCCTTTGAGTTTCATCTCCCAGGAGCCTTTTCTCTAATTGTGGAATGCAAAGCGTGCATCAGAGGAATTAAAGGCTTCAGGGAAGAGCCGATCCTCTGGTCATGGGGCGCTGCCTGCTGCTGCCTGCAACTTGCCCAGGGCTAGCTAGCTCTGCCTACTTCTAAAGTGGGTTCCCTCTTAGTGGATTCCCTCACAGAGGTCCTTGCAATAGTTCAAGACGGATCTGGATAAAACAAGGCAAATTATCCCCTGGGCTTGGACTCCTCTCTGCCCTCCTTCCTTGGCTTTGCAGAGGAGCCAAGAATGAGTGTGCAGGAGGGCAGACAGCCTGTGTGCAAGGAAGGCCAAAACAGCAAGAGAGTAAAAACATCACAGACAGCCTGGGAGAGCCTTTGTGGGAGGAACTTCCAACAATAATAGACATGTGAACTTGGGGGAGCGTGTCTGGGATGCCACCTGTCCTAGACAGTGAAACAGGTAGGCAAGCTCTTAGCCAACTGGGGGCACCTGCTAAGCCAGCCTGGCAGTATCATGTGGGATGTTATTGTCATGTGCCAGTGTGAGAGGTGGAGAGTTAGTGTTTGGAGAGGATGAGAAGCTGATTCCTGAAATAGGCAGTTGAAAAGTCTATAAAGAAAGAAAAGGTTCTGTTCCTTGTTCCCAGTAGCAAACACGGGCTGGTGCAGCAAGTAAGTGACAGAACAGCCAGGGCAGTTCTGAAATAGCGGCAGCACCCTGATATGCCGCTGCCGCCATACGAGGGGACTGTGCAGGATTCCCCCCCAAAGCCTTGAACCTCAGCTTTTCTCCTTTCCTGCTGTCTGGTGTGCCTCCCTGGGACTAAGACGGTTGCAGTAGCCAGTTTCATACCCAGGCAGTAAGTTGGGCCACAGACAGTTTCACTAATAGTACCTGGAGAAAACAAGAGCAAGTAGCTCAGAGAGGGTGGAAGCTACAAGTGCACAGCCTCCTTACATGGGCACATAACACACCTACTGCCCAGATGTGGTTTCAGTAAACTTCGTGCAGCTTCATGTGCCAGCTATGGCCTCGGTTCTGAGCCAGCCCAGTGCGGAACCTTCTTGCCTGCCCCCACCAACCCCGGGCCTCTTGTCTCTCTGGCCCCCAAGGCCCCCAGCAGGCCTGCCTCCAGCGTGCTCCCTGTGGTGCCGGCTCTCACGAAGCTCCTCAGTGCCCTTCTCTTTCTTTCTCTCTGGTGCTTTCTTCCAGAGCAGTGACCTTCAGGGGCTGCCGGCTCCCTGGAGTCTTACCACTGACCTGCCCCTGGGCAGTTCATCAGTTTCTTTCTGGGCTCCCTATAGCTCCTCTGATCTATTTCTAATTACTTGGCTTCTCAGCCCACAGTTTCTCTGAGAAATTTCTTGCTTGCTTTATATCCTTGCCGGACAAGAACTGTTTGCGGGCTATCAGGTATCAGTCTCAAGACCTTTATGTTCTCTAAAAATTCTTCAGGACATTGTGCTGCTCTAAGGTAATCTATATAAAGCACAACCTGATCCATAGTAGGTATTTATTAAAGTTGACCCTTCTGCACACTACTTATGGGAACACCCTTACAGAGAAGACACATTTTTTTGGAGGGGACAAATTTTTTTCCCTATGAATCCACCATATTTAACTGAATACAAAAAGCCAAAAAAAGTCAATCCCAATATTATTCAGTTATCCAGAAAGGAATTGTATTAAGAGATGTATTAATAGTGGCAAAATTAAATAGATTAAACAGTTGTTTCAGAATCAACTTATATATAATTCAGGAAAAAGAATATTTATTACACATCAAAAAGACCAAGTATTTTAGGGGCCCCAGGGCTTGCTAATTAGCAAAATAAGAACATACTAGGCAGGAAACATACCCCCAAAACATCTTTGTTAAAAATGGGGTATCCCACAGAGTAAACCCTAATCATTCTTGGATTTGACAGTCACAGTTTCACATGTTCAAGAGGGGCCTTGGAAGCCCATGATGCAAGCTGTGCGTGGGAAGGCGGGGGTGGGGCAGGCCTTCAGGCTGGTGAATGACCCTAGCCAGCTACTCGGCATCTGCCACCCAGCCCAGCCTGACTGTCCTCTGATCTCCATCATGGACACAGTGCTGCCCCTGGCAAGTGAAGCTGACTTTGTTTCCTTTTATGGCAAATGGTGTCAAATGAAAGAGAACAACACTTGACTGAAGCTGAGCTGTTGGTCAGTTTGTAGAGGATGGTATCAGAAAACTCCTCTGTGGAAATACGATGTGGGAGATACATTTGGGGCGGTAAGAGTTTCAGGATGTACTCCCTAATGATATCCAGAGGGGCCAGAGGAGTTAAATGAGGTGGAATGAGCCCCTTAGAAATGACTTTGAATCTGATCCTTCAAGAGAAGGGGCAAGTCAGCAGACTACTGGGATCTCTAAGTGGCTGCAGCTCCAGGGGGAGCTGGGATAAAATGCCAAAAGCAGAGAGGTGGAATTAATGACTTTCATCAGTAGTCACTGAAAAAAAGGAGTTAGGGTAGTTCATACTTCAGACAATATTTTGGAATGATCCTTTTGTGGTGGCTCAAACAAGTGTGTGACAGAAGGGTGCTTTGGTTTTTCTGAAGAACTGTTGACACATCTGCTGAAGTAAATTCTCACTTCCATCTCCACTGGCACACTTAGCGAGTTTATTATCCCATATGAACAGAAAAATTATTACCCTCTCCAGGGCTGGGAGCAAAGCTGTGCAGTTTACTACCTGGAGAGTCTTGCCCCGTACCTAGCACTGTGCCAGGAGTATGCCCTGTCCTCAGTAATGCTCCCGACAGGGATGGGTGGGAGACAGAAAAAGAGGTGGGATCCAGGTGGGCCAGAGAGAGAGAGAAGAGTTTGTGTAATTTATCCAGACACGAGGACCAACATTTATTTATTTTTCAGAAAATTGATGGAATAATAGTTTTATATGAAACATTGGCAAGTGAACAGACCATTGTACACACAATTGACAAACTGAATATAAACAAGTCACTCTATTTGGATAATCCCACCTCTGGCCCCAGCCCAAGGGCTCTGCAGGGATCCGGGGAGTGTCTGGGGGAAGGCTGGCCGAGGATGATGTCACTGGTCATGGCCTCACGGTGCTAGAGACTCAAGTTCCTGAGGTCAGTCCCAACACTAGAAGGACACTAGGTGGGGCAGTGTCATTCCCACTCTGAGTGAATGGAGAGGCTTTAAATTTAAAATAAAAATTTAGCACAAATATATATATATATAAGCGTTTGGATAAGAGGCAGGACAGTTTCTGCAAGGAGGTACCGTGCCTGACTTGCCAAAGAATTCTCTGAGGGAGAATGAGGCGGATACTATGCACCATGCCCGGTGCTTCTCTGCCCTGGCTGTGCATTAGAATCACCGGGAGATTTTTTGAAAAACCAATGATGTCTGTGCCCCACCCTGTACTAATAAAGCAGAATTCCTGGGCTGATTCTGACAAACAGCCAGAGTGGAGAACTACTAATTAGATTTTCGAAAAGCTTTTGATAAAATTTCATCCCAAGTCTATTATTTGCAAAAGCAGTTAACATAAGATGCGTTTGGTAGAGAAGACGGAAGCAGGTTATAGATGAATGATTGCATCTCAGAATGGATCAGGGGTTGAGAACAGGACCAGTTTACCTAACAATTTTGTGAGACATCCAGGGCATGGATCGCAGTGGCACTGGCTGAGCCCTATTTGCCAGGCTCTGTTAGGTGTGGTGGGGAGGGGGAAACATGTGTGAGACACAGGAGCTCATGGAGTGTGGACAAGATGGGCCACGGGGTCGAAGATAGCATGTCATCAGAACATACAAAGGAAGTGAGGGGAAAACCTGGATGACATTCGTCTCTTCCAGGAATAAAGGGTAAGAGGGTGGGTGGGGGGATAGATACCAGAAACCCGTGACAATGAAGAAAAGAGGCAGGGGAGATTAAGCAGGGGGAAACGAGGTAGCATATCTGGGGGAAAGTAATCCGCACTGAATCGAGGACACGTTAGGCTCTGTGGCAGACCCATGTCCACTGGCCCTCTGGCCTCCGTGGCCATTTGGGGGCTGCTGTAGCTATGTGACATCTTCAGGGAGCCCCGTTTAACGTTACGAAGGCCACGAAGGATCAGGCCCTCTCTTTCCTGTCCCTGCCCTGGTAGGACATGTGGTCTAGGCGAGGCCCGTCAGATGCCCTAAGGGTCATGACTGAGGCAAAGGTAAAGGGGGCTGAGATTTCATCCGCAGGGCTGCAGGGTGCTGGCAGCACTCTGGTCAAACTGGCCTTGTTCAGAGCCTCAGCCGTGCCTTCAGGTTTGGGTCCTGCCCTTTTCCAAGTCTGGTTTTCAGCCTTCTGATGATTCTGTGAACCTCCAGTGTCTTGTAAATATATTCTCTAAAAATATTTCCAATCAAGAATCCTGGCCGATGAAGGTTTCCAGCCAGGAAGAGGTCCACCCAGGGGCTGGTGGTCCATGTGGCTCGAGGCCACTGACTCAGTGCATGGCTACAGCAAGACCGTAAGAAGTGAGGTCCTCACTGAAGAGTGTAAAGGACAAATCAAATCAAATCTAAGCCATCTGGAATAGCTGGACAAACAAGCACTCAGAATGCACAGTTCCAGCCACTAAGCCTAATGGTAAAGTAGAATGGAAAAGAACATCTCAAATACTCAAGAAAGCAGAGAGACTTCCCGGCAGGTGTGGAGGATCCAGCTCAGGAGGGTGAGGTGGATTCATGCCCCCAAGCCTGTGGCACAGCTGCATGGCCAGCAGCACTGGTCTTTCCAAATCTGACCCCACACAGAGCAACTGGGCCTTCTCTCCTTCTGTCTGTGGTGCCGTGGGGTTCGTGGAGGTCATGAGTCCCAGTCACTCATTCATTCAGCACTGGTATTTCTGTCTTGGCACCAAGTACACTGGGGTGTGTGAGAGGAGCCCCATGGAAATGAAGGCTCCAGGCTTGTAGGAGACTATGCTGGGTGCTCCCAACACCACATTGAGGTGCTGGGGGGCTCTGGGGGGCAACCACTGTAGTGAGGAGGCTGGGGATGGCCTCATGGAAGAGGGGAGGTTTGCATGGATTCTCAAAACACCACTGGGAGTTAAATGAGTAGACTGGGGAGTGTACAGGGGGATCCAGCATGCAGGGAAATCACGCTAACAGAAACTCTGAGTATCCAGGGTGCGAGGCTAGAACTGTTATGAGCCAGAATGAGCCCAGGATGTCAGGGTGATGAGGAGCCGTTGATATTTTGCAGCAGGGGCACAATGATCAGTCTTGAGTTCAGAGAGGTCACTCTGGGAAAGGCTTGGGGGTAATCCAGGGTAGGCAGAGCTTAGAGGCTGGAGGCCAGTTAGCATTGTGGTTTACCAATGGTTCTCTATGGTCCCCACACCCTCAGTGTCAGCATCTGGGAACTTGCTGGAAATCCAAATTCTTCGGTCCTACCCCAGACCTACCGAATCAGAACTTGGACGTGGGGCCCAGAGATCTGTGTTGCACAAGCCCTCCCTATTAGTCTGCTGCACGCTCAATTTGAGAACCTCTGTGCAGTCCATACAAGACGTGGTAATGGGGCATGCTGAAACAGTGGTAGTATGAATGAAGTGGGGCGGGCCAAGGATACTGGAGACAGATCCAAGAGGCTGAATCTGGAAGATTTATGATTAGGTGGGGTGGGGGCAGTTGGGGGCCAGGGAGCAGAAAGGGACAGAAGCAGGTTCTGGCACTGGGTAACGAGACTGCTTCCTCATACAGGTGTCCCTAGTGGGCTTCCTGTTCCTTTTGGGCTTATACATCTCATCCCTGGCCTCCTGTATGGGAGGGCTCTACGGAGCCCCCCGGATCCTGCAGTGCATTGCCCAGGAGAAAGTGATTCCTGTACTGGCCTGTCTGGGGCAAGGGGTGAGTGACTCCTTTTTCGAGAAATGTACATTTTGCTGTAAAACCTGATCGTTAGCATGTAAATTGCTCATCTCGCTGATGAGAGCCGCTGGTCAAGTTGACTGGGGTGGGAGAAACAAGAATGCAGTGGTCTTTCTCTCACCCCTAGCCTCTGGCTGCCTTAGAGGTGGGGGCCAATTAGATGAAGCATCTGTCAGTGTCAGAGCCACCCAGGGCCCCTTAGCATGGGCTTAGCTGACCATCATAGTAGCATCTTGGACCCTGTGCAGTAGGAAAGGGATGCCACATCCTTTAATAAGAATGCATCCAGGATCCTCCAAACTTAGCATAGGAGAAAGAATCTCTTGTGAGGAGGGGAGCTTGGTCTTGCAGCTCTACCTCTGCTCCGAGGTTTGTCTTCCCTCTGGGGTGGCTCTAGGATGATTTTTCATGCCTCTGGCCTCTGGGTTTCCTGTTAATCATCATGGCCCAAACCCTAACTGGTGTAGAATACCTTGGTTGAGTCTCGAAACGATCAAAGAGACATTCCTAAAGCCTAGGGGATGACAAGAGAGAACGCCACTTCCCAGTAATGTGGTTTGCAAGCTCTAGTTCAATTCTGTCTTGTTGGAGCACCACAGAGGCCTTCCCCACCCCCTTTCTTCCCCAGCCACCCTCTCAGTTAGGTGGTTGCAAGTCACCCACAATTCCTCCCTTTACCTTCCTCCCCTTCTTATCTAGCCAGCATGGGTTGGGTAGGAGCAATGGCTATCATATTGGTACCTTACATGTGATATATGCCTTCTATTTTATTTTAATTTCACCTATTTTATTAGGTAATATATGCACAGGGTTCACAACTAAAAATGATATAAAAGGTATACATTGAGAAGTTATGCTCCTATCGTGAGCCTTTTTATCTCTTCCCATTGGCACCCATGCCCTATCAGCAGCTGTTTTCATTCATTTTTTATGAATCCTTTCCTCTATTTTTACACAAAAACAGTGTTCTATATACATTATTCTATACCTTGCATTTCTTCATTTACTGTAGCTTGGAAATCTATCTTTTCATATAGAGGTAAAGAGAACTTTCTCATTTTTTTCCCATTCATGTGGTAATACCATAATTTATTTAACCAGTTCCCTGTAGATTGACACTTATATGGCTTTAATAAACAGTGTTCTATGGAATCATTTGTGTGTGTGTGTGTGTATGTGTGTGTGATTTTGCAGATGTATCTATAGGATAGCTTTTCTTAAGTGGGTTTGCTGGGTTAAAAGGTAAATGTATTTTTTATATTAATAGATACTGCTAAAATTCCATGGATTTATATCATTTTGTCTACCAGCAATGTACAAAAGTTCCTGTTTCCCCATGGCCAGCACCACTCTTAGACTCATGCCAAAAGACCCTGCTTAATGGGAAGGAGTCTGTTCTGGTCCTTGGGGTAAGAAGTTCATGAAATCAAGGGGACATGCCCACCTGGATCCCATGCCCCACTTCTAGATGGTCCACGTATGCTGTACCTGGAACTCCCTTGCCCAGATGTCCCGCACCCACATCCAGGGTCTGCAAGGGCCTCTTCTCTGGGCCTGTCTGCTCCAGGACCAGACAGAGGCTGGGAGTCCGCATGTGGGTGTGAAGTACCCCAATGGAAGGGTCTGGGAAGGGAAGGGGGTGGGCTGTGAGCTGAAGGCTATGCATGGCCATCCTCCAGGGAGGATCTCTGAGTGTAAGGATTCTAAACTTGAACCTGGCCTTCCTCATCATCCTGAAGGTATGTTTGCCAAGGAAGGAGGGCAGAACATATTTGACTTAACTGTTTGTTAGCTTTGTTTATAATTGTAAATACTTAGCCATAGGGCATAGCGACTTCAATTTGCACTCACTCAGGCACCACAGTGTTAGCAGCAAGCTGGTCCACAGCTCATTGCCAGTTGTGTAGTGAGAAATGGCATCTTAGGCTACTTGGGATCTGCATTACTCTTACTAGGAATGAGATTGAACATCTTTTCTTTAGGAATCATTTGTATGTTTTTCTCTGTGATTGTTGGCCTTTTCTCAATTGCTACAAGCTGTTTCTTTGCTGGGGAGATTAACTCTTTGTGATATGTATTACAAATACTTTCTAGTTTGACACTTGCCTTTTAACTTGGGTAACTTTTTTTCCCAAACCTTTTGTACATTTGATTGAATTTCATGAGTACATTTCTTTTTTAATTGAGGAGAAAGAAATTTAAAAAAACTTTTGAGATATATTCAACTTATAGAAAAGCAGTAGGAACAGTTTAAAGAATAACTATGAAGGGAACATCCCTGGAACCTCCACTCAAGAACCCGGCCAGCCCCCAGGTGCCGCCCTCCATGCATCCTTTCCATGCCCCGTCCCTCTCACTGGGGCAGCTGTAGCTACTGTCCTGACGTCCGTGATAATTCCTTGCTTGCTTTCTGGCTTTACTCAGGAGTTAGCTAGCTTTGTTTGAAACGGCCCAAACAGTAAATGTCTTAAGCTTTGTAGGCCCCGTGGTCTCTGATAAAATGGCGCAGCTCCATGGTTGTAGCTCAGACATAGCCACAGATACCATCTAATGGGATGGGTATGGCCCTGTTTCAATTAAAGTGTATTTATGGACACCGAAATTTGAATTTCATGTGACTTTCATGTGTCACAAAATATTACTTTTCTTGTGATATCCCCCACCCCCCATCTGTTTATAAATATAAAACCATTCTTAGCTCCCGGGCATACAGAAACAGATGGTGGCCAGATCTGGCCCAGGAGCCACAGGTGCGGACCCCTGGGTTTGCTTCCTCCATATGCATCTCTAAACAAAATAGCTGAATTTTGCCTGTTTTTAAACTTTACATGAATATGACATTCAATAAATGTGACTCAACACTGTTTATGGGAGTCATCCACATTTTTTGCCTGCAGCAGCTTGTTTATTATCATGCCTATATAGCATTTCCTCAATTGCTGCAGTTTATTTATCCATTCTGCTGTTGATGGACATTTGGGGTGTTTCCAACTTGGAACTGTCATGTACAGTTCAATGAACATTCTCAGACTAGTAGATTTGCATGTAGAGTTCTTCTAGACTACACCCTAGTAGGATGCTAGACAGTGAGGTATATATATTTTCACTTACTGATAACACCAAACTCTTTTTCCAGACTAGTTGCACTAATTTACACTCATATCAACAGTAGATAAGTGTTCCCATTCTTCTGTGTTAATGCCAAAACTTGATATTATCAGACTTTTTAGATTTTTACCAATCTGGTGGTATTTAGTGGTAACTCACTATGCTTTTAATTTGCATTTCCCTGATTATGTAATGAGACTGGGCATCTTTTATATGTTTAATAGTCATTTACTTGCTCATTTTGTTTTAGTGGGTTGCCTGTCTTCTAATTATTTTATAGGGATTCTTCTTAGGTTCTAGATGACCCTTTGCCAGTGATACATGTTGCAAATATGTTTTCCTATCCTTCGGCTTGTCCTTTCCTTTCTTTATGGTGTCTTTCAATAACAGAATTTTCCATATAACTACTTTATCATTTTATAGCCTAGTCCTGATCTGGATTATTAGCATTTCCTGCAGCTTTCCTAAGACCCTCATTTTATGTTCTCTGTAGTTCTATGGATTTTTTCTATTTCTGGTTTTATTGTTACAGTATGCTGAACAACTGCAGCAAATATACCCAAAAATGTAATTCTCAAAAAATAATACAAGTATGCTTTTACTCCTTTTTTAAAAAAAGAAATTTCACTCTCATGTGCCAGGAAAGATGTTTCAGGTCAGTAGAGGCTGATTCTCAGAGACTGAGGCTGACGAGGACTTTGCCATCCTTGTCCTGTGACTATGAGGGTTGCTCTGTATGCCAGCCCTCGGCGAAGGGGAATGTACCAGGAGGAACCCAGGTGGGAGGTTTACATGTCAGATCTGGAAGTAGTTCACTGCGTGCCCATCACATTCCAGCGTGCTGACAGTAAGGACGTGGGAGCAGTGGTTAGAGCCCGTGTACATCTCACTGATGGAGAATGAGGGAACTGAGAAGAGGCGGCATGAATTTTGCTTGACTGAGCAAAGTAGAATGACAGAATCTCCGTTTTCTGAGATGGAGAAGACTACAGAAGTCAATTTGAGGGACAAGAGATTGGGAAATCAGCAGTTTGGTTTTACATATACTAGGTTTGAGACCCTATTCATCAACTGGAAATGTTGAGTAGACAGTTGAATATTTAAGTCTGGATTTCAGGGAAACATTTCAGGTTGGAGATTGAAATTTGGGAGTTGAGAGCATGAAGCTGGTATTTATAGCCATGAGCCCAGGTGAGTATATGCAGAGGAGAGAAGGGGTCTGAGGATGGGGCCTTGGGCTGCTTTGAATGTAGATTCCAGAGATGGGAGGAGCTAGCAACAGAGACTAAGACAGACAATGAGGGAAATGAATCAGAAGAGGCCCTGTGAAGAAAGTCTTTCAAAGACCAGGGAGTGAGCAGTTGGCTCAACTGTAGTTCTTAGGTCAAGGATAATGAGGACTGAGAAGTGACTGTTGCTTTTGGCCCAAAAACTATGTCAGTGGCTGTGATGAATAGCTTCTACGGAGTGACAGATTGTATGGATTTAGCTCATTTTTCCCACCCCTCTCCTCCTGAAGGGCACCATACCCACCTCCATTAAGTTGCGTGTTAAGTATGTGTGCACACTAATGTGCAGGTGTGTATGTTTAGTGTCAGGATTCTCCCACCTCAGCCACCCGTGATTCTGCTGTGTCTTCCAGGGTCTGCCCCTCCCCTTGAGGCCATTTTCTCCATTACAGTCTGTTAAGAATCTGCTTTACACCTCTTTGATTTCCTAGCCTGGTGTGAAAACCCAGTGAAAGACAAAAGGAGAGATATTTGGAAAGACCAGTTCTACAGTAATGCCCCATATTCATAGTTACTAATATAACTAATCCTGACATAGTACGTTAGGAACCTACAGTGTGTCAGTGCCATGTCAAACATTTTATATGCATTAGCTCTGATCTCATAATAACCCATAATTTGGGTACTGTTATCCCAACTTTGTAGACAAACAGTTACTCACACACCACGTGTGCCATGGGAGAAGTGGTTGGATCATTATGAGTTGTGTTTCTATCATATAATTGTGATTTTCTTATGAAATTTCATAGTCCTGCATGTTGTTTTTGTTTCTGCAGAAAGGGCCAAACAAAACACCTGTGGCTGCCATCTGCCTGACCAGCTTGGTGACCATGGCTTTTGTCCTTGTGGGTCAGGTGAATGTCCTGGCCCCCATTGTCACGATCAACTTCATGCTGACATACGTCGCGGTGGACTACTCTTACTTCTCCCTGTCCATGGGTCCCCATGGCCTCCCCCAGGTGCCTGAGGTGCTGCACGGGGAGGGCACAGGAGCTCTCTGCCGCTCTGAGCACCTGCTCTTGGAGAAGGCTCTCAGCTATGGCTCTGAGGGCACTGCCCCGAGCCTCTCTGAGGGCACGCTGCTGGAATTCACCAGGGACATGGATCAGCTCCTGCAGCTGACCGGGAGCCTTGAGAGTGGCCATCCCAGGAGAGGAGAGAGTGAGAAGGGGAAAGGCAAGAAGGCCCCCAAGCAAACACTGCAAGACAGCTTCCTCTTGGACCTCGAGTCCCCGGCTTCCTTCCCTGCTGAGGACTCTGACGGGTTGCCCGCTGCCTCCGGGAACAGGCAGAATGCCAGGAGGGAAGGGGCTTGGCCTGGGGGAGCAGGTGGAGAACAGCTCTTTCTGGAGCTGAGTAACCAGCTTAGGCCAAGTGGAGAAGGTGAGTGTTTTGGTCATGCTGTGGCTTCCGAATTTGCAGTGACCCCTGGCAGCCTCACAGACCCAGTTATCACAACCCTCCCTCAAGTCCTTAGGCTAGTTACAGCTGCGTTTAGAATCCTTGTTAATTTTGATGTCTATTTAAAAAAGTTATATTCAGACATCAGCTGAATTTGCAGTTCTACTCTGTTATAGATAGTTGATTTTAAACAGAAATTTCTATCTATTCCTGTATGTTAGAGCTGGGAACCATGGATAATAATTGAGTATTAATTTCATTTTACTCAAAAATCAGCTGAGGTATAATGCCAGCATGAATGAAACCAGTTCTCCTCTCAAGAGAAGTGGAAATGTGTTTTGACAATCTGCCTGGAAAGGACACAGAACATTGTCTGGGAGGATGAATCCCCCACACCGGGCAAGAGGGGGTGGAGAGAAGGTGACTGAAGGAGCACAGCTTTACATGGCTTTCTCAATCTACAGAAATGCACAGAGACTCTCAAGGAGAGGCTTACAGGGCATGAGAAATTCTGAGAGAGCTTGAAACTTTTGAGAGTCTTTCATGTCCTAGGGCTTTATGTATATTATTTCATGTAATATAATGGATATTAGCATTTCCATTTTTACAATTGAAGACCCTTAGGCCGCCCAGTAAGCTCACGGAGAAATCTCAGAGCCGATACACTCTGTACAACTGGACGTCACACTCAGGTCAGCCAGTATTTGAAGTCCAGAGCTTTCCTTTATGTGCCCCTCAAGATCTGTGCAAACAAGTGTGGGTAAAGAGGAGACAGAGGGACACCCGTCTTAGAGAAATGCTTTACCTTCTCATATATACCTGCTTTTCCTTCTTTACCTCCAATTTGGTGGCAAGTTTTTAATGGTAAGCGCATTATTAAAATTTTTTAAATTATTTTATTTTTATCAAAGTAGTAAGTATGTAGTTTAATAAGCCAGGTAGAATTAAAAGTCACATAATCAGAAGTGGTAATTCCCTCTCTTCTAGAAAACTCCCTTTTATGCTTCTCCAGCCTCTAGTGCCACTTCCAGGAAGGCTCAATTTCAACCCAAAAGTTGCTTCTTCTGTTACCCTTCATGTTACTATATAATGTCTTTGTATTGCTACTTCTCAGTATGTCAGTTTCAGACATCATCTTTTTTTAACTTTTTTTTTACTAATTATGGTAAATGAAAATTTAACTCATTTATGCCACTCCGACTTCTCGTCCAGTGTCCCCAGTGTACCTATATCACAGGTTTTGATTAACTTAATAGCTAGTATTCATGTTATCGTGATTAAGTAAATACTGCTTAACTCTGGGCCATATATTATACTATGATTACATTTGCTTTTTTTGTTCAACCTTTTCTGTTTCCTGGAGTTAATAATTGCCTTGTTATTTATTTGTTTTTTTTGTCATCATTTTTATCTAAGTGCTCTGGCTGATAATGTCAAATGTCTCTCAATGCTATTTTCCAGATGCTTGAATTCTTAAGAAATCTCTCAGATCCATTTCTTATTTTCCCTCTCTTTCCTCTGGCTCCCATCCTGTTCACTTTAGGCTCTGTTCTGTAGGCCTGGTAAAAAGCATAGTAGTGGAATTTTTCTCTATCACATTTCTATGTTGGATCCAGGGAACAAGAGATTTCTTGGATACAACATTTTTTTCTATGTAAGCTTTTGCCTTTTTTTTTTTTCTTCTGCCTGCCCAGCATTGAATGACCTACCTATGTGTGAAGAATTTCCAGTGTTATGAGTCTTGGTGAGAGGCAAAGAAAGCCTTTCACACTCAAAGCTGAAAATGTCAGGTGCTCAGTCTTTCAGCCTCTCCTGTAGCCAGAATTTAGGCACGAGGCTAAGACTGTGCTAATCAGATGAGTCTTCCTTGTATTTGGAACTGGGAACTGGAAACTTGAAGAAATGGGGACACTGAGGAACTCTCTGGAAGCATGATGGTTGCTGCAGGATGACTACATCCTGTGCCCAGGGCTTTCAGGGTCAGTGGGCAGGCCGCCATGTCCAGACCTTGGTGCCTGCAGTACTGGTGTCCCCAGTAAACTGTTCTGACATGTAATTTTGAGTGTTGTCCCTGGCCCAGCCCTGAACTTGATTTGCTAGCCTTCCCAGCTGTTCTCAGAGGGGAGGCTAGAAAATGTCTTTTTAGCTGGTATATTGCTGCTTCACAGGAATGGTGTGGGTTTTTTTCTAAGAAGGGGCGATTGGGTGGTAATAATCCATCTATTCCTGTTTTTAATTTCTGAGAGCTTTTGGTTGTAACCTGATTTGTCCTTATTGGTTTTTTCCTTTAAATTTCAATGTCATCTCTTTCTTGTTTTGGGGGTCCAATGGCTTATTTTATCTTCCTGGTAATATTACTTATTTTCCCTTTAAGACCTTTTTTTTCCTTTTACTGTCCTGTATTCTTTAGATTCCTTTCTCTTCGGTTTGGTCTCACTTTCTCCTTTATATTGGAGGTTTTACTAAAGTGTCTGTTGATCTTTTGATTTATTTTCATACTAAGAAGTCAAGTACTAAACACATGTTTAGCAGACCAGTGTCCTGGGCAGGGCTTGTTGATTGGCACCTCACTGTAGAATGATTGGGGAGCGAGCTGGCTTTTCCACCAGAGGACCCCCAAACATGGCGATCTAGTGGTTTCCCTCCAGGGCTCTTCAGTTCCTCCAGGGAAAACCCTCTGAATCTCTTGCCAGATGGCTGCTTACATTCAGAAGGCAGAGGCAGATGAGGGAGTTGGGGCATCCTACTGTACAGGATACAGACTTTCATTTAGTTCCCCAGTTTCTAGACCCATTCCCCAACTCCTTGCTGGGCCTGGTGTCCCAAGTCCAGGCACTATCTTGTTTGATTTCTTTAGAGGGAACCCCCACCTTGGAGAGGAAGTCAGACAGAAGAGTTGTTACCTAGCTTCTTGGCAGAGGAGAAGATCTTGGTGTCCAGCTATTTCATATACAGTCTTGCAACCAACCCCTGCACCTTATCACTTCCCAGCAACACGGCACCTCCTGGTCCTGAACTTTGCTGGGATCTAACATGAGCACACTGGGCTGTCCTTGCCAGCCTCTTCTCAGCAGGCAGTAGAGGTGATCCTCCTCTCTGCAGTCAGCTGTCACTCTTCTGTCACCTTACCATCTTCCAAGTCTTGTGTTTATCTTTCCTCTCATTCTCTTCGTGTTTATGGGTTTATACCTAATCAATTCCCTGTCTTCTCAGTGGTTTTTCAGAAGAGACACGTGGTCAGTTTGCAGTGTTTAATCAATGAAGCAGTGACTACCTGGTTGCTCAGTCTTAGAATTGTCATAGCTAATGACCACTCCCTCTCCTCCATCCTCGCTGCCTTTACCTCGGGGCAGACGCTTTACCTCATCATCTCACACCCAGGCCCTTGGTAAGTCTCCAGATTAGCCTCCTGCCTCCAGACGCTCCATTATCCTGTTTCTCCTTCTCATTGTCCACTGAATTATTTTTCTAAAATGAAACTCTTATCATGTCTCTCTTACTTAAAATCCCCACTGGAATCTAATACCATTCCTCTAAACCCCAAGATCCTTGGTGTGATTTGCAAATTTCTTACAATCCTGCCCTGACCTACCTTCCCAACCACTTTTCTCATGAAACCTGTGCACTGTGTGTTTCAGCTACACCCAGATGAATGCCCTAAACATATCATGTCCTTTATTCCTGCCTGCCTGTGTATATGCTGTTCTGCCACCTCAAATTGCTTCACCTCCTCCTCCTCCATCTGGAAAACTATGACTTATGGTTTAAAATCTAGCTGACTTTCCAGACCCATTTCCATCCCCTCTGAGATGGACTCCTTGATTTCCCCTCCTGTGCAAGCTTAACATTTGATTCACACTAGTAGTACAGACAATTATCACATTGTTTTATACACTGAGATCACATTTGTTTACACATTTGTTATCAGGCTTACTCATCTGTCTGCCTTAAGGAAAAAGAAATATTAGTTTCATTCTTTTCCCCATAGACTGTGATTTTCCTTTAATTGCAAACTGTGTCTTTCCATCTTGTGTTTATCACAATATTCCCACACATTAAGGGCACAAAACAAACACTCAGAGGAGGCTTGTTAATCGATCAACATTTGAACAATTAATGGCTAAAGAACTGAAACATTGTTCAGTGAAGTAGTATAGGAGTTAAACTACTCTAAGTACCAAATCTGTGACAAACCAGATGCCATAAAATAATAAGAATCAAATCACTATTGAATAAATATTGTTGAGAGCAAATGGATCAAAAAAATTAACGTGGGGCTATGTTTAATACCTTATGTAGCCACAAATTCCTTATTTATAACAGCTGTGCAAGAGAGATATTTCTGATCATTGAAGACATCATCAAAGACAAAAATGATCTGATTAAATAGAAATAAAAAACATTTGCACAACACAGTGTCACAGAAGGAAACAATTATTCTGACAAATACAACTGATAAAAGCATACCTTCCAAAGCATATTATTTTTAAAAACAGGAAGGTTGAAATCCAGATTCTATTAAAGAGAGGTCAGAACAAATGAATATGCAGTTCACATTAAAAAAAAATCAATGGCCAGATTCATTCATTGTCCATTTGACAAACTAACTTGTATGGTTAAGCATTAAATATTGTTAGTTGCTAAAAATAGCCAGAACTTACTGAGTATGTCTGATGTCCTGGCCCTGAGATAAGCCCTTAACATGGCTTATCTCATCTAAACTCAGTGTTAGGCATTATTACTATCTTTTTATAGAGGCTTAGAGAAGTCAAAACACTTGCTCAGGATATAAGACAGCCAGAATTTGAACCCAGGTCGGTCTGTCTCACTTTAGAACCTGTGCATTTCACTACTACACAAAGTGTGTGCTGCTTGCTGTCAGTATCTATTATGAGCTAGGTCATGGTATTGATTAAATGAACACAAATTAAACCACCTCTAAGAAATCATTGCATATCTATTAAGCTGTCAAAAAATTAAAAAATAGTAGCTCTTTGGTAATCAGGTACATGGACACATTGCTGGTAGCAGTCTCAATGGATTCGTGCCTTCTGGATCTATTGATTAAAATTTTTC